TACCAACGAATAATGAGATTGCCCGTCACATTATAACGCCCCCACGGTTGAAAGGGCGAGCATGTTTGGTGTGACAGGGATTCGAACTCGCGACCCTCAGATTGCGAGTTGAGTGCCTTAACCACCTAGCCATGCCGGGCCTTCATATGATTTTAAATCTTACAATAATTCTGTAGCAAATGGGTAGAACACATGTGTTTTTAAATGCATGTTTACACCTTGCTGTACATACCAATAGAGGAACAACCTTGATTTTTGTTATGAACCATAATCGTCGCCTTTAAACAACAGAGTGCTTGACATTCGACTTTGTGTTTTTTCTCATGGTTCTGGATTGAGTTTTTAAATCCAAAATGTTTCAAGATCACTGATTTTACTGGGTCATGGTAACACCACGATATGGTATAAAAGTAGACAGAACTGAGGAACATTCAACAGTTGGTCCAAGTTGTCCAGAAAACACAACAGCAGCAGTATGATCGCTAAGGTAAGGAACTGTGTGCTCACGTTAAAAAAATATTAATATTACACATTTCAAGCCTGTGAACAGAAGTAACAGCTAAGTGTAGTGTGTAATATTTAAATATAATCCCTTACTGTACAGTTATAACTTTATTGTTCACAGAGGCTCATCTATCCTTTCCTCTATTTATTTATAATTTTACTGTTGACGACGTATCACGCACCACTTTCTCTGTATTTCTGTAAACTTTATAAAATTTCAAACCTGACATGGAATAGGATTTCCTTTATAAGTTATAAAAAGTGGAATTTCTGATTTTTAGTTTTAATATTATTGGTTGCTTATCGTAAATAATTTTCTTATGTTATTAGACAGTTGCTCCATTCTCAGAGATTTCTAATTCACACAAAATTTTAAAATTATCGAACGCGTTTTGAGATGATAACTGTTTCTCATTATTACATTTAATCATAAGATTAAGTATCTAAATACATATAACTTAATATGCAATATTTAGTTGTTTTATTGGATTTAATTTTTTTCAGATTGCCACCCTTTGCGCCCTGGTAGCTGCCGTCCGTGGTGGTCTGTACCACGGTTTGGCTGGCGGTTCTAGCGTCAGTTCTCGTCGCCAGGACGTAAGTAATATTTTATTATCTTTTAATGTGACCTATTTTTGCCCTGAACTGTGGTGCAGGTATTTTTAATGACTGAAATTCAGCCCTAGATAATAGATTGAATTACATAGCATATTTACCTACCAGCGTTTAGTGCTATAGGTGCACATCAAATGTTAGGATAGCTAATTCATTTAGCTCGATTCAAATGAAAATTATTGAAAGCAAATGTTTTTCGATTGTTTCTAAGTTTTAAACACAACGTTTTTTTAAATATTTTTTTTCCAGGACTTTGGTAACTATGCCTTCAACTACGACATTGTTGACCCAGTTGGAGCCACCAATGGCCGTTGGGAGGCTGGAGACGGATATGGAAACAAACGTGGAGCCTACAGTCTGACTGACATCGACGGACGTGCCCGCAGAGTTGAATACGTTGCTGATGGTGCCGGTTTCCGTACTGTTGTAAAAACCAACGAACCAGGTACCGCTGCTAGTGCTCCTGCAGCAGCCGTTGTGGCATCCAGTCAACCTGGCGTTGTCGCTCATGGACCTGCTGTAGTGAAGACTCATGTTGCTGCTGCCCCTGCCTATGCATATAAAGCACCTGCCTATGCATATGGAGCCTCTGCATACGCAGCTGGAATCTATGGAGCCCCTGCCTACGCTGCTGGAGTTTACAGAGCTCCAGTCTACGCCGCTGGTATCTATGGAGCTGGATTTAACAAATACCATTAAATATATATATATAACTTTCTCCATTAATTAATATCACACACTAATTCTCTCAAAGAATTTTCTGTTTCCACTGCTAACTTTATAATATGCAAATTCTTGACAAACTTAAGCCTGATTTCTGGATGTCGACTGTTATCTTGTCTTTGCTTACACAAAACCCTAATTTTCCGCTGTTTTCCGAAAAGGTCAAAAACTAAGAGAAAACTTTGTCTCTCTCTCTTCGCTCCCCCTCAAGCTAATATTTTACTAATATCTATGGAACCCCAGCCTATGCTGCTGGAATTGATGAAGCCCCTGTCTACGCCGATGGTGCCTATAGGGCTCCTGTGTATGGAGCTGGATTCTTGAAGTACCATTAAGTACACATGTGTATTTTAATTCTTTCGTTAAGAACTCCACATATTAATTCTCTTAAAGGATATTCTGTTTCTGCATCTAACTTCACAAGCTGCAAGTTCTCGACTAACTAAGCCTGATTTTCTTCTTGTCTACTGCTATCATATCTTTATTTACACAAACGTCTTAGCTTACCGCGTTCTCCTGAAAAGGACATATATTGAGACAGAACTGTCGTTCTGGGTTATCCTTCAAGCTTATACTTCGAGATTCTTTGTGTGTGTGTATGTGTGCTCAAATCTACCTGTACAGTTTGTATTTATGTAATAAAAATTATTTGGTTGGCGTAAAAGAACTGGCGTCAAATACTTTTCGGGTCTTTTTCAACACATAATTTTAGAGAAAGAATAAAAAAGCCACTACATTAAAAGTCGAGCTGTGAACCAATTATTTGTCTGAATACTTACGATAATTAATGACTTATCACACGTTAGAAGTGACGAAAATGTTTATTTCTTCTTTCATGAAAATAAAACTTTTTGTTTCTTCTTTTTCTTGTGTATCAACACACCAAACACTAGAAAACTTTAGGTATGTGTTTTGTACCAACATAGAATAAAACTTTAAAAGTATTTTTCTCAGTTCGAAATCTAGTTATATTGATATTTCTGATCAGATAGTTTACTGAACATTGCCCAAACATTGTATTAATGTATACAAGTTCTTTCCAAATAGTTAGGACTGACAAAAAAGAAACAAGACTTCCAGGAATATCACAAATGTACATATTTCAGTAGAAAACATTCCCTCTACTTATAGGTTAGTTGACACACTGTATATACTTATAGTATTTTGGTGTTTGTTTATAAAGTTAAAATTATAAATAATATTCAACGTTAAACTGGTGCACAATTTTATTTAGGCCTATCTATGGCCTTCAAAAAGTTGGCGACTCTACATGTTTCCTGAGGATGACGTTGTAACGTCGAAACATGTAGAGTCGCCAACTTTTTGAAGGCCATAGATAGGCCTAAATAAAATTGTGCACCAGTTTAACGTTGAATATTATTTATAATTTTAACTTTATAAACAAACA